TTTGGGGTCCAATAATTGGACCAAGGCTGGGTTCCAACCTACAAACTGGGTTACCCCTATTTGTACACCAAACTATGTTTAGGTGCTTATCTCTAGCCTATTCATAACATGTATGCAGGTTACAAGAGGAGAGATATTCTAACAAGTGCCACGGCTGTGGTGGTTCGCCTGCAGCTGTCGCTGCGGCCCCAGCGCACGGCGCACACGTTCTGCGTGTTTCTGGAGCGGTTCAAAGCGGTGGGCGTGGAGAGGAACAATCTGATTCAGCCCACCATGGCGCTCAATAGGTGGGTGGGGAGAGGGTAGAGAGGGAGAGGGACGAGGGAGGTCGATGAGGGAGGGGATGAGGGAGGGGATGAGGGGGATGAGGACAAGGAGATATGGTACAGGGGATGGCATGGCACCCTTGCACTGTCTTACCTTGAAACCTCGCACCCTGCACCTTCGTACTTTACCTCTTTTTGCACTCACTCACTTCCCTATCCTCACATGTGTAGCCATGGTCGCACCATCCACCTCTCATTCCGCCCCACCTCTCAATCCCCCCCACCACTCATTTCCCCCCACCTCTCATCTACCCCTTTCCTCTCCTCTCTCGCTCCCAGCCGGGGCGAGGGCATCCTGGCAGCATCGCTGGCAGGCCCCAACTTCTACCCCTCGGCTGCCTCTCATTCCCACCCTTCCTCTCATCCCCCCAACTCTCGTCTCCCCCCCACTCCCTCCTCTCTTGCTCCCAGCTGGGGCGAGGGCATCCTAGCAGCATCGCTGGCAGGCCCGAACTTCTACCCCTCGGCTGCCTACGCACGTATCAACGGCAACACTGATGTGGGCAGGATCGTCGTCGCGGGCCCGGGGAAAGCGCCTCTCGACGACTACCTCAGTAAGTCTAGCGAACTAACCCCGGGTGGCTCGTTGGGTGATCAGGGTTTGGGCTTAGCATGTATGGTATGGCACCCACAGGGGCAGGATCGTTGTCGCCGACCCAGGGAAAACGCCTCTCGATGATTACCTGAGTAAGACTAGCTAACTAACCCCCGTTGGGTGATTAGGGTTTGGGCCGTTGCATGTATGGTATCGCAACCACGTGAGCATGATCGTCGTTGCGGGCCCGGGGAAAGCGCCTCTCGACGATTACCTGAGTATGACTGTTGGGTAATTCACGCACTTGGCTCATGTCCGCCAACAAGCAAGTCCGTGCATGGGTGCATAGGCCTTGGGCCTTTGCATGTATGGTATGGCATGACAGTTGTGTGTCCCATCCCTCATGCACTGCTATTTCTGGACTTCCTGCTTGTACCTTTAACCTGAGTCCTGGAACTTCCCACCACTACCCATCCCACCCTTTACCCACCATCTCCCTCCCCCGTCCCCCGTCCCTCCCCCCTCCCCTCTTTTCTCCCCTCCATTCGCACGTATCCACCCCTACCTTTCCTCCCACCCACCCAACACCCACCACTCCCTATGTGCAGCGTACCGCTTCAACATCCCTGTGCTGCTGTATGGAGGCTTGATGCTTTTACCTGACTCTCCCCAACCCCCCCTTCCCACCACGTACCTGCAGCGTACCGCTTCAACATCCCTGTGCTGCTGTATGGGGACTTCATGTCGGCCACAATAGATGAGGACGGCAACGTGTGGGCGGCGGTGGAGTATGTGGGCGGCGTGGAGCGGACGGACTATAGCGACTAGGGCACCTATATCTTTAAGGTGGATTTGGGGGAGAAGAAGGGGGAAAGTGATGGGAGCACTGGTGGGAGCAACAGTGGCGGTGATAACAGCAGTGGCAGCGATGGGGACAATGGTGGGAGTGACAAATGATGGCAGCGGTAATCACAACAGCAGTGGAAGCAGTGGCGATTGCAGCACAAACACTGGTTACAGCCACAATGGGCCGTGATGGCTGTTGTGATAAAACTTGGAGTTAAATAGGATGCGCGTGTTTGGGGAATCGAGGGTGGTGTGGTTGCGTGCGTGGGTGCGTGGGGGGAGTCGAGGTAGTGGAGGGGTGGTTAGGGTTGTGTTAGGCCCCTTGGCCTAAATCCGCTAAGGAATAGCGAGGTTGACTAAATTGAGGATAAAGCGTGGCGGAAGACTTTGGCGAAAGATGTGTTGGCGAAATAGGCGAAGAAGTACTGAGTACCGTAATTGATGAATGAGAATAGGTTGATATTGGTGGATACAAGCAAGGATGATATAGCATGCAAGGTCTGTCACAGAATTCACTGAGGGAAGTTGCAATCCCTTGTCAACCCCCCCGCCTCTTTGTTTCTGAGGACACAAAGTAACATACAAACAAAAACTTCCCTTACTACAATAAAGGACTCCTTCTGGGAATAGGAGGGCTGAACAAAGAATACAAATAAGAGAAATGAAGTCCAAGGGAAAAAGGATCCACAAATTCTCTATATCTGCGATGTTTTTATCACATTAGTAAACAATAAAAAAAAAGAAAGTTGACAGAAATAATACCAAAGAAA